CCATTCCTACACTGACCTAGGATATCATTTTTGCCATTCATATATATTATTGCCTTTACTCCCTCTGAGCTAAAGTCGACAGTTCTTCAACCTGTGGTTTTCCATGAAACAGTCTGCTGGCATCTCCACCATGATGTGGCATGAAGAACGCCTTTGGAATTTCAGTGAACTCCAAGGAATACACTTTTCCAATCTTGTTCCATTCACAGCTTTGGCATTTCATTTTCAGTATCCTTATTGATTTCAAGTGTTGCACCTAACTTCATGGAATAGTGTCTTCCTTGAGAACCAGACAAGAAGAAATGAGATGCCTTTTATGTAATCCATACATTCATTACTATGTTCACAAGAGCCTGCCACCATTCCCTATCCTGCAGCATATGAATCTTGACCACTCCCACTGGCCCTATTTTCTTAAGATCCATTTTATTATTGTCCTCCCATGTACATCTAAGTCTTCAGAAATTGAATCTGGTATAATTTCTTACCATCATTCCCAACTGTATTTATACTATGACTTTGTCCTTCAGTCTGGTGACAAGACATGAACATATTGACAGTTCTTCTGGTAACTTCAAGCCCATGTCCCTGGTTGTATCAAACACAACTTCTGACATACAAACCGATATCATCTGTCTGAATTTCAAACATAACTTGACTTTCAAGAACTGGACCAATGCTTATATGACACTGCAAACTGCAAATGATGCCAAAAATAAGATCATGAAGTGCTGATATAAAGTGACCTGACTTCCTGTATTCACTTCTTAATGCACAATGAAAGCAAAGCAGATGTCAATAAATCTAAACGTCGTTAATATGTAAGTATGTCACAACCTAATTATAAATGTTTTTGGTGTTAACCAGCTTAAAATGAATAGTTAGTAAATCCTGCTTCACATTCAATCCACAAACACATCAAGAACAAATTGTTTTAGTTGACTCACCTGCACACACTATAAGACATGCACTGCTAGTTAGAAATTATTGAAACCAAAGAGTTATGCAACACACATATACATATCAACTACGAAATAACAGGTGGGATTTCTCTCCCCTCCCCCCTTCTTCCGGAGAAACAAACTAGTCCAAACTGACCTAAATTTCATATTAGTTGCCCAGCTCAAAATCTGCGTCACAATAACTCACCTACCCACACGACAGTTATGGGATTTTTTCAGTCAATAAAATATCTCAGACGATAATCAAACTCTAGCTGAAGCAGACAACACGTATTCTGCCGATAACCAAGATAACCCCTACACACATCATCACTTTACGCTGACTTTATAGACAGTGTTCTGAAGGGGAACCAACAGATGTTATCGTCTGCAGGGGGACTCAAACACTGTAAACATGGCTGCGAAGGCTATATTTAGCATATTTTTCACCTTTATATTCACACATCATGCACAATTTACAAAACTTAATCAAACCTTAATTATTTACCTCTCAGCCTGGTATTCTAGGACCACTGAAGTAGAATCAAATTCACTAAACTCGGCCAAAGAATCTGCTTCAAAACTAAAACCACCCAAAACACTTCCTCTGGCCGAGCCATTCATGTTTGGTTTCATGATGGCGTCTGAACGTGGGTGCAGGTCTGCCAATAGCCAATTACATATACATAAAATGTCCCAAGAATCTCTCCAACAGTTGGAAAACAGTCATTAAATATATTAACCATGGCATAAAATATGTTAAGCAACTCCACACAATATATTATTTCTTGAAAAGTTAACAGTGACTCAGTTAGACAGTACAATCCCCTACTTTAAGATGATTTCATTACGTGTCCTTAAGAGCCTACCATGATCCCTATCCTACGCCACATGAATCCAATTCACAAGTTCAGTTTTAATATTATACTCCTAATCGATTCCAAGGTCTTTTGAATGGTCTCTTTCCTTCAGGCTTTCCATCAAAATTTTTGGATCAATTTATCATAACCTCATGCATCCTACATACCGTCCCTCCTATCCTCCATTTTATCATCCAAATAATGTTGCTGAAGACTACAAATTATTAAACACTTACAATGCTCTCCTGGCTGTTCTTACATGATCCCTCTTATGCCCAAACATTCTCCTGTTCTCAAATAGGCATTGTTCTTCACTTAATGTAAGAGATTACATTTCACACCCACCATCAAAAGAAGTAAAATTATTTTACATATCTTCACCTTTTTCAAGGTAGCCGCTGGAAAGTCAAAAGATTTTGAATTCAATGATAAGCATTCTACGAATTGAATGTGCTCTTAATTTCTTCTTCAATTCAATTTTGATTTGTTACCATTATTACCAGATACTTGGAATTCATCACATTTCAAAAGATGTGTTAGCCATCTATACATTATTATTTTGCCCTGTAGTCTACTGACAAGACAAGAATACATACCAAATTTTCTCTGTTTACTTCATATAATCTGAGAAAGCTTCGGTTTTTTTAATTTATGACATTATTTTTTCACTCAATAAATTAACATTATCAACATTAACTAGAAGCTGGGGTGTACCACTCAATTCCAAATCTGTTTATTTTCTGACCCTCATAAAGAATCACCTTGATACTTCATTACCACTGGATCATTCTAAATAAGAAATGTATCACACAGATGTTTCCATATATGAACCACAAACAGCTGCAACTAATTCAATAAATATGCCAAATTCAATGAGAATACTGTACAGCCTTTCTTGAAGTGAACTGTCCCATTAAACTCAATTTTCCTTCACTATCTAAGGGATGCAGAATATCTGATGAATTGTTGATTATAACAAAGCCACACTGATAATCCCTACGATTTCACCTTGACAGAAAAATTGAAAATAAATAAGTGAGATAAAACAAAATTTTACTAAGTTGCCTGTAATATGTTGTCTGCTCATTTTGTTCCCATCATCATCATTCAAGGTTGTATTGGGAGATTTAGTCTGATGGAGGTCTTGAAGACCACATGTAAGCAGTTATGCAACTTTCTTACTTCGCTGCTCTCATCTATACCATTAGTGTGTGGTAACTTCAAACTGGGTTACACCTCATGAGTCCAACTTGAAATTTGGAAGAAGTGCCTGGATACCTGCAACGTTTGACTGACAAAACAAATAGTTTTCACTTGAACAATTTGATCATTTCTTTGTGTGTTATATTTAGAACACAGTATTATCAAAATTTGTAACTTTATTCAGATATTTTAATGAAAGAGTGAAAGTAAACGTTAATTCCTAATGGGGTTTCTCTTTGTGCAAATCACAGACATATTTAAAACATTAATAAAAGATTCTGCATAGTTTCTTTTTGATTCACCATAAATATAGAGTACTCTACTTATCCTAGTATCCACCGCATTAAAGATCCTCAGGATTTCCCAAGTATCAGCAGCTAAAAAAAGAGCTGCTGCCAACCAATCCTAGGATTGATTACAAAAGAAGACGACTTATCCTAGTAGACAGCTATATGTACACCGAGAGAATCAAATAAGATGAACAACTAATTTTGTTTTTAAATATATTAATAAGGCACACAGTGTCTACCTGCCACTGCCTGGAATAAACAGTTAAAAGATTCAGTCTAGTTAACATGCCTTCATAATTTTTTCCAACATAATGCTACAAAGTCTGCCTTAGCATAAAACAGTAAATTTTCTTTGCACTACTCTGAGTTTAGAACAAGTGTCACTATAGAATGTCTTACTGTCAACGCCTACACTGAATTATTTTCCAACAATCCCCTTAGGGCACCAGGCAGCATTGTTGTAACAATGCCCATCACCAACATGGGATTCTGTAGGTGAAACTTTTGTCCCAGTTCTCAAGGAATGATAGGCTTCATGGCAAAGCTCAAGTGCCTGGAAGTGCAAGGAGGAAGCATATAACCAAGACAAGCCAAGTACAACTGGGGGCTCACAGCAACTGGAGTACCTGACACTACCACAGTCTAGCAAGGTCCTGGCCAGGATGCCCAAATTTGAGGACAGTAGCCTTATTAAAAGAGCTTAATCCTCCTCCAAAGACCCAGATTTCTACAAGACCTGGACTTGAAGAGAGGCCTTGATTATGGCCATCAATACCACCTTGGGGAGCTGACAGCGTCAGCCAGCCTGAGGAAGCTAAGACAACTATGAGATCCTGTAGGATACTGCACTCAATGGGAGGTACAGAGCTGCTAGCAGATAGAGTGAATGGTGATGCAAGAAATGGTCACTGTGCAAGGGTCAGTTATGTGCCCACCCCATTTCCATGTACACACCCACAAACAATATGAATTAAAATATATAATAAAATTCAGGTCAATACACAAACTTTATTTAGATGTTAAAATTTAAATTTGCGCCATTCATCACTATAACGATGTTACAATAGAGCGCCTTCATTCACTTCACTACATGTTTCGATGCAAAGCATCATCTTCAGGTGTTGTCTTTTAAAACTACTTTATATTATAATGCATGTCTTTCAATATATTCGTCCGTTTTGTTCATTATTGTAGCATGTGTTCCGCTGATCCTCCCGTTTTACGCATCTTATGTTTGTTTTGATTATTCTGTAAATAAATGTAATAAATTTGGGAGTTATTTATTTATATGCAAATAAGTTTGGAATATGAACTATATTTGTAACAGTAAGAACACAATAACATACCATAAGTCGTGTTGTGTGGTGTATCTACGTCTGCTCAGGTTGACTGTCTGTTCGTGGACTGGTTTCGTGTATAGATGCGGGTGGTATATATAGGTAGAGGGTGTCAGGTGCTTGAGTCAATGACTTGTATTGTGTTATCGTTATAGTGATGAATGGCACAAATTTAAATTTTAAATTTTAACATCTAAATAAAGTTTGTGTATTGACCTGAATTTTATTATATATTTTAATCATAAAACACAAACACGACGCATGTAAACCTTAAACAATATGAAGTTCACAAGTTTAACACATATTTGCTAAGCCAACATTTCAATGTATGCAGCCAACCTCTTAAACTGGAAAAATATTCACAGCAAAAAGAGAATCATACCAAATTATTTATTACAATAATGGCATCTGCTGAACAAAGACAGGAAAAGGTATGGTACTGCAAATTATCTGAGTGTCATTTCCTTTAAATTATAAACAATTCAATATACAATACAAACAGGTACAGGCATATCAATAGTGGGCATTACAGATCTCCAAGAAATGTAAGTAAACATTGTTTATATATATATATAATACAAAAATAATTACAAGGTATTTCTGTATTGTAGTATTTTATTTCTACTAGGACATGCACTGTTCTGATTAGTAGCCTATAACTTCACTTTGGTTCCAAGGTTTTGTTTGTAGCTATGCAACAGAACCTCCTACTGAACTTCAGATACATGCACCGACTATAAATTACCAAGAATTATTATATAATTATGGGAACATGGTTGTTTATAAATATACATACATACAATCAATGCATTGTATTTTGTAAGAATTTGTAAATATAAATGGAAAGAGCACCTGGGAAAGTAATGTAACAATGCATCTCAGAAAACAACATTAACATACACAAAAATTCTAGAAATTTTTGCTTCAAATAAAAATAACATTTTACTGCAACTGGAACATTTTCTTAGCATCAAAGTTTAGATAACTGATTCCTTCCTGAACATTACAAATCCAAATTGCTTCCTCAACAACAATTAATACAATGACTCTTGAACATTTGTAAGCATGACCTTTGCTGTCATCTAGTGTTTCTTAGTAAATTGTATTCTGTTCACAAATATTTCACAGCTTTCCCGATATACATTCAAATTTCCTCTGGCAATGCAGAAACACTAATTCATAGATGAGAAAATCTGCACCCACATGGGAATGAAATGCAACTGGGGAAGAGATTCAAACAGACTCCAACAGACCAGACTATATTATTATATTTTAAGACTTCAATTACAATTTTGATAACATGTCAGATGCAAGAAGTCAATATAAATAATACGGGTATTTAGAACTAAAATTTTGCTCAACCTGCTCCACATGGCTTATTTAGAATTGTTTTAATAATGTAGAGAAAGCCCAGTATTCAAGCCTAACAATATAGAGCCCAGAAATATAATGAATTCTAAATTCAGTATTTCATTCCAATATGGATGTGAATCATATATTTTTTAAAGAGTGCGGAGGGTTTAAATGTATCAAATACACAAGACATAGAGGTTTTACGTTCGATAAATAACAGCTGTACTGTAGTTTAAAAAAGTCACTCATCAAATATCTAACCAAATAATGATTTAGTTTGTGTTCAGTACTGTAACTGCCATAAGAATAATCATGGTGGATTCATGATGGAAGCATATTTAAAAATAAACAACTCTTTGAGTGCAATGCATCTCAAAACTTAATAAATTAGGTTAAATTGGCAAAGAAACACAAAACTTGAGAAAAAGAAAATTTGCTACTGAGAAACTGAAATCAAACAATGATAGATTTCTATTGGTTTCAATAAAAACAAAAGCTGCATTAATGAACATCATGTATTCAAGAAGAAAATACAGAGTAAATTAAACATATGGCATCAATAATATAATCTAACTGGTACATTCAAAATGAAATGAATTAATGACTAGCATGTACAGAAGTAACTTTTCATCAGATTTCCTTCATACTTACCTTGAAGATGTTGCCAGCAAATATGTCTACATGTCAGTTTCCATGAACCTAAACGTCCTGCTGTCCCTCTCATTTTACGTATGCGGGGTCATAAAGGATACCACCGGGTTCTGAATTAAATCCTCAACATATTTAATTACTTATGAGATACCTTTCTAACCTGATTAGTCAATCCATGACATTTCTTGATCAAATAATAAAATATGGAACTACACATACTGAGGGGAATTAAGGAAGCGACAATAGTGGAATGTGCACTAACTTGAATAACAGCACAATGAAACAGTAATTTATGATGAATGACTTTTTAACCGGTTTCACAATTACAAAATTGAATCTAAGAAGCAACCTTTCGAAAGGCCGGAAAACATTAGGCTTTGCTTCATACCGGAATATATAAACCCTTTACAAATAACAAGAACAATCTTATCAATATTTGTAATTCACAGAATGAACTACGCAAAATAAAGTCCTTAAACAACATGCTGCTTTACCATTCAAAACAATAAGAAACAACTCTTTGGGTATTTGGTCATGCAAAGATGCAAATATAACCACACAATGATTTCAATTTATAAAATATTCACAGAAACATTTTATCTTTTTACATCGCAAGGCCATTAAAAATAGGGCTCCACATATTTTCCAATTAAAAATAGCAGACAAGAATATAAATTACAAGCCTACTTTGAGCATCACTGGGACATGAAATGGACAGTGAATAAGTAAAAATAACATGTATCTAAAATGGTAAATGCATTTTTTAGACAATACCTTCTTAAATGTCAAGAGATAAAGTGCAATGTTAAAAAAACACGTACACTGGAAAATAAATTATTTTAGATTCAATACCTTCTTTGCTGACAAAGAGCCAACAAAAATCTGAAGGCACTGTAAATGAAGATCAACACTCTAAAATTTGTACGAAGTAGGAGCATTCTTTACATCAAGTATGCCAGTATGTCATACATTAAGAAACAGTTTACATTGAAATGTTTCAGTTTGTAGACTGAAAATGTTCACATATACTGTGAATTAAAGAACAGACAAGTGATGAAGCAACATCCCCACAAGTAGTGTTAGTGAAAGAACTTAATTCCACCAACACTTCTCTTTTGGGAGCAATTTTACCCATTAAGATTACATTTCAAAAGGGGTAGTTTCAAAGTGCAAAGTATACAAATGTCATGTACTGCATTGCATTGCAATGAATTATACTTATGAATCTTCAATGTCACATTATCCCTGAAATTCAATATTTATCAAAACAGTCAAAGTAAGATAGATAATTTGAGTTGTACATATCTATTATAACAAAATATCTTCTGTACCCTGTCCTATTTCTCATCCGAGTGGGCTGCACAATAGTACTACAACACAATGATGCAATAATGAATTGTAAGGCATGCATTCAAAGTGTAAAACAGAAGAACAGAGTAATTAACATGGTGACATTCAATGTCAGCAGATATCACAATTTCATCTCCCATATCACAATATGAGCATCAGTACTATTTGGCTCTGGATATGACATAGAGAAATGTTTGTTCTTACCATCAGCAGTGTAACAGCATGCCTGCCTCCAGTTTACATACCCTCGGCCACCCATGAGAGTAATCACGGTTCTACGTGAAGTGTCTACAGGTGTTGCAGCACCTTTATGTGTAGGTTTTGAACTTGGTTCAACTGCAGAAATAGGAAGATCTACAGGTGATTCAATGGGAACATTTGGGGTAACATCAGCAGACCCACGCGTATCTTGGACAGATGAACTCACGTTGCTCCCATGCCTAGAAACATTTCTGCTCCCACCACCATTTCTGAAAGGCAGCGTCTCCTCAGATCCAGAGGATGTATACATAGATGAAGAGCGAGAGTCGACCGACCAGTTTGAGAGATCTAATGACCGTGGACGACTTGCTTTAAGCCTTAATCGGCGATCTAATGTGCTAACTTTACCGGGAATTGCCGCCAATTCTGGATCACTACGTCGAAGAGATTCATAGATTGGATCAGTTCCACCATTCAAAGCACTATCCTCACCTTCATAGTCCTTGACATACATCAGTTCTCCATACAGACCATAAACATCACATGTGTCACCAGAGCCTTGGGATGATGTCGTGGAAGCGGACAATAAGCCCCCACCACATCCCAAGCCCCGAGGCAACGTCTTAGAGGTACGTCGCGTTATCAAATCAGATTCCTTGTGTTTGCGACGCCTTAACACTACAGGGCTGCTGGTCAACTGATGCTTCAATTTGGCTGCAATGCTGCTTGATACAGAAGTATCAGAGATCTGTTTCTCCAGTTTTAATTTAGATGCTACATTTTCAATTGGTTCCTCTTGGTTTTCCAATTCATTACCTTCCTTTCCATTATCTTCTACAACTTCAACTTCTTCCTGAGGTTTTGGTGAATGGAAACTGACTCCTGTACTCCTTGGCTGTAAAGCTAACAGGAAAGAGATGGGACCAAAGTGTGCATGGTATGAAATGTTCACTCTTCCGCTGATAATAGGCACGCCTTCCAGTCGTGGCAAAGGAATTGTCAAACTTATTCCGACATTGGTTCCAACCCAAAGCAAACCTTTACAAGCCATGAGCGCAGTAACAGTTACAGACGAGCGATTATTGTTGACGCAATCTCGATTACTGCAGTTATTTGAACCTGAAGATGGAGACGTGACACGAAGCACATTTGAAGCTATATTGATGTCCTGAAGATGTTTGAATGTTTCTGTGTGGTAGAGGCAGATGGTGCTGGAATTCTTAAGAGATATCCACAATCCTATGCCAGAATGGGCCATCAGATTCACATTACCAACATGTTCATGTTGGACACTGAAGCTTTTCTGAAAAATTTAAAAAGAAAGATTTGTAAACTACAGTTGTACAGTACTTTGACTAAATATACCCACTTCTCAATAACTGCAAGATTCAGAGCAAATAATTATTAATGCTGAAACTAATCTTGGGCGCTGGCATGTAGAGAAGCTACCTTGTTGCTGACATTTCAGAGGGGGCCAAAAGGAAGGCTGGGACAATTGGTATGGGATGTTGCAAGTCCCCATGTGGTCAGAGTCCTGTGGGTATAAGTGGGAAGAGTAGTCAAGACAAACTATGGAGTTGACACAGCTGTTACTGGCCCCAAAGAGGGGGTACATGATTAGGCTACATCTGTGGCATCCCCTCTGTTCCTTATATGCATGGAAGGTCTTCATCCAGACCGGGCTTAAATGACAGCCCCTTCTTTTCCTCTCTTTTCCTCAGCCTTTGTCTACAAGAAACCAACACACTGACCAATATCTGAATGTCACCTCATACCACCACAATGGTAGGATACTACTGGAGTGGTGCAATATTAAAATAATACAACCTTCACCACTCAAGACGTGCAGCATTCTCAGGAAGTCCAAGGAAAGAGCCTTGGTCTGACGGCTCCTGATGTCTACCAGATCCCATGTGAAAACATGGACACTCAGCTCTACCATCCCAAAAACTTTGTGGTGGCAGAACATACCTTCAACGAAGACCACCAAATATAGTTTGACAACATTGCTTTATTAGATCTGCCCCACTACACCAGTAGCATCAACTGCAAAGCCTTCAAGACCACCTTACACAACTACAGTGAAACCTCTATCCATCGTTCCCGGAACTATCGTTTTCCCGGATGCATCGTCCGTTTTGTTCGGTCCCGAATACATCCCATATAAAATAATGTTACATTTTCCCGCTTCTATCGTTCCTCGAACTATCGTTTTATCGCATCGATCGTTCAAAAATCGTAGTCCCGGCCCACAATTTTCCCGCAATGATCGTTCCTGAGAATTTAAAATGCTGGGTTTAGAGATAAATTAATACCGAAAGACGCACAATGTTTTTGGAATAAACAGTAGCGGTAACCTGTTATGTCGCCCAACCAGCACATTCTTTTGGAATGAGGGTCAGCGGTGCAGGGGTGATAGTTGGAGTGAATGGCGGTGCTCATTGTCAGAAATTTTACGATTTTAATTAGGGTGCACTCATATTTCGTTCCAGCGATGCCAGATGGCATGTGCAGTGTGAATTTCTTCACAAATGCTTTTATTACAAGGACAAAGGAAAGGCATTAAAGACTTTTTTGGTAAAAAGAAGTAACTTTGAAAGAGAAACATTGTTTTTTTTTAAATGTTTAATGCTTTCCCGCATCTATCGTTTTCCCGCATTCATCGTTTTTATTTCCCACCCCCGCCGAAAACGATGCATCGAGGTTTCACTGTACTTCAGTTATGCCCAGGCTGGAAAACCATCATCACCCACATGCTGATGGAACATCCTTTCAAGCGACAGTATATGTAGATAGCTGTTTTCTGGGTCTAACCACTGTGCAGTCTGATAGAAGTTTACCAGATACTACTATGAGAACTTCAATTCCTATTTTAACAGTACATGTGACTGGCGCAGGCCTCAGCCACCAATTCTACTGAAAACCATAGAAAAGTCAGATTTCTTCCCATTTTAATTTCCCATCTCAACCCCAGAAAGGGTGCTCTCCCACTTACCTCCTAAACACAGCTTCACCTTTCCCTTCATCCTTCGCTAAAACTGACAAATTTGAGTAATCTGACAATTCTCTAATTTTTATATAAACCAGCTCTATCCTGAAATATCTCAACTGAGTCCTATGACAGAAGCAATATGGTCGTTTGAAATGCCGGTAATATGCCAATCCCAGCACTCATTGAGATGGTTCAACATCAATACCAACAGTATTCCTGTAGAATAAAGAGAAGGCTAACAAAAATAACACTGAAGTTGGGAACCAAATTTCAGTGTTCAAATGACTGGCTTCAGCATCTCAAGCAGCGATGGAACCATCACATGGCAAAGCCATTAGCGGAGAAAAGTTTAGCTGCGGTTGTCGAGGTTTGAAATAAGTGGCTTGTAAGTGTGGCACCAATTATTGAACAGTATGCACCACAAAACACTATTAACATGTTAATATTTTAATATTTTCCGTCAAATCACAATTTTAATAAGATAATAAAATATAAAATATTTAAAATATCATTTCACGTTCCGCATCGAATGATCGATTTACAAAATTTAACGTCTCTTACGACATGTTTCGGTTATATTTAACCGTCCTCAGGTATAAATTAGATTGGTAAATCTAAAACTCGAATTACAATCATTTACAATGTTATGCAGTTTATTGAAATGTTCTTATCAGATTACGCTTATATATTAGAACGAAAGTATTGTTTTTTTATATGGCGTGGTTTATCTGATGTTCAATATTAGTCTGTAAAGCAATGATTTAAATAAAACATTAATAAATATGGAGTAATATAGAAAACAACCTGAGGACGGTTAAATATAACCGAAACATGTCGTAAGAGACGTTCCAATTTGTAAATCGATCATTCGATGCGGAACGTGAAATGATATTTTAAATATTTTATATTTCATTATCTTATTAAAATTGTGATTTGACGGAAAATATTAAAATATTAACCTAATTCACAATATGACGCAAATATACTACCTTACTATTAACATGGACAAAATGACCTTAACCGTATAGAATATTCACATTATTTTTTTACTGAAGTACTCTGAAATAATTTAAATTAATGTGTGTGTAACAGTATCCTCTTCAAGTACCTTAAGAGAAACTTCTAAGCTAATTAAAGGTTAACAGCAGCTCAATGCAGAGATTGCCTCACCTGTATTTCGCCTGTCAAGGCACTGAGGACCCACACTTTCTTTCCACATGCTGCATACAGACACATGTTAATAGGGAGAAGGCATGAGACGGGATCTGTCCCCAGAGTCAGAGTCTGCGGATCTTTCAGCACCCAGGAGCCATCATGTGAATTACGTGTATACTGTAAGAGGCTTCCATTTGCTAGAGCAACAAACACACAGTCGTAGTGACATCGGATCTGAACTATCACCGCAGACACTGTGCAGCTAGCAACTTCTTCTTGTTTCTGTGGTTCACTAGCTGCATAAAGAAGTAACCTGCAACAAATAAGAAGTAGAAGACAAAGTGTAACTATTAGTAATTCAGCTGTAAAATTTCTCAATTTGAAATCCATTATGGTCTCTGAAATTTCCTTGCCACTACATCTTTACTATACACAGAATACACGAGATTTAACAACACTATGGTGATCTGACAACAGCAGTACAATTACTGACTAATGAAACTCAAATTATGATGGTGGTTATTCCCTACATTAGAGGAATATCTGAAAAATTTCGAAGAATCGGTAACCACTACAATATCAGGACCATTTTCAAAACTACTCACACACTTTGTGGTATATTGATGTCAATGAGACCTAGCAGAGACAATAAACAGATTAGGCAGTGTGTGTACGGGTTCCATGTGAATGTGGTAGATGGTATATTGGCGGAACAAGCAGACCTCTGTAGGTGTGCATCAAAGAACATGCGAAGAAGATCATCATGTCTGTCGGAGTGGAGCCAGGGTCGTATAAATTGAACCCAATACCATCTACAGAAAATACCACGAGTCGGCACACATGGCTTTACTAGCCAATCCTATCAGCCAGCCTAGTCTTGATATATTGATATATCTCGCATATGGATTCCAGTCATCTCAGGTGAGATGAAAGTATTGCAGCATAGTTCAACTTAATGTTTTATGAAGTTTTTTTTTGAGTCGTCATTTACTTGAGCCTTTGGCATTTTGATCCTCAAACTACTTGCTCTTCAGTATTTTTCCAATTTTGTTCAATTTTTCCCATTTGTCATTCTTTGGTTTCTTAGTTTGCTAGACTTTGGTCAGTATATTACTTTGGTCATATGCACCAACTTCTACATGTTTTATAATTTTTTGAAGAATGTTTCTCTTTTACATCTCACGGATATATGCTGTCCTGATCAGTTTATTTTCTGGGAATTTCACTTCTGCCATGTCCGGAGATAAGGATTAGCTCTATCGATTGGGCCCAACTGAGTAGGTCTACCTGAGGACGGAGATGGAGTCCCATCTCCAAAACACTGTGGATTTTATTGATTTTATTTATTGGACGATGAATAATATCCAGAAAAGTGTTTACGTCAACAATGCACCATTGTCACAAACTTTTAGAATTGATTAACAGAAACCTGCCTTTAACACATACTTATTTCTGAAAAAGTTACAATAGTTCGTAAGTTACCATCATGAAGCATAAAATGTCATTAAGCCCAATCCTGTGCCAGGTAATCAAATCCACATCTGACAACATATTTCTTCAAAATCCACTTTAATATCAACCTCCCATCAACACAAACATCTAGCAAATGATCTCTTTCTTTCAACTTTCTTCAATCCTCCTGTTACTTCCTCAGTCTCAGGTCAAAACATTCTTCTCATCATCTTATTCACCACCACCTTTCATAAAATATTACATTAATAAATGTGGCATATTTCTCAAAGATCTGCTTCAAGTCCATACACTGAATGAGTATTAAGAGTTTCATGAAAATCCAACATACAGTGCCCATAATACTGATCTTTACTTCTCAGTTACAGAACACACTGACAAGGCTCATTAACAGTCTACATTCTATTAAAGAAGAGACTACAATTTATTTCAATATTTTCTGTGCTTTAAAGCATTTAAATGTCAATTTAATCCAGCCACAGGGCTAAAGGAACAGAATTCCATCATCATTGTGAATAAATCTTACCGTCTACTGTCAGTCCCCATCCACACGGTATCACCACCAAGACCTCTCGCTGTTCCAGAAAAGCCCCGTACAAATTCCATAGCAGTGACTTTGGTCTCAACCAAGTCAAATGCCCCGACATCTTTCAATATTCCCGCCTGTTGTTGTTGCTGTGCCAAAATTGCTATGTGACTACTAGCACCATCTGTTGTACAGACCCAAAGATAACTGTTGTTGCGGGACCGCCGGCGTGTTGGTTTTGACGAACTTGTCACATAGAAACAGCCACAGCGCACCTAAAGTAAAAAATGTACCCAACATTTACACATTTCTGGGGACTGATTAAATTTTTTTTATAAAATGCATTCAAGTGTAAATTGCAGGAAATGCAAAAATTGTAAGCTTAGTACCTACCTTCACTTTAGAGATCAACTAAAATATTTAGCAAATAATTGCAGGTAAAATGTCAAACAAAATATCTTACCAAAAACTAAATATATACGATCATGATGCACACTTGGACGAGAGAGACAATAGTCACAATATACAGTGAAACCTCGACGCATCGTTTTTGGCGGGGGTGGGAAATAAAAACGATGAATACGGGAAAACGATAGTTGCGGGAAAGCATCAAAGTTACTTCTTTTTACCAAAAAAGTCTTTAATGACAACTGGTTTGTCGAAACTTACGTTTTAGGCCAAACAGAGCCCTTTCCACGTTCAAAATGTTTTCCTCGTCACGTTCACTAATATTATGCGCATAAAACCAATGCAGCATGTGCTTCGGCAAAACTCGGCACAGCTTCAAGCTCGCATTCGTCGTCTTCCTCTTCCTCACCACTCCCACCCCCTTCGCGAACAATAACAGGAAGAATGAAAATACTATTACTGCCGAACTCAACGAAACGTAGCTGTAGAAGACACTGAACCACTGGAAACGAGATGAACCAGAAGAATGAAAAGTGTCACCTGCCTTTCCTGTGTACTTATAATAAAAGCATTTGGGAAGAAATTCACACTGCACATGCCATCTGGCATCGCTGGAACGAAATATGAGTGCACCCTAATTAAACTCATAAAATTTCTGACAATGAGCACCACCATTCTCTCCAACTATCACCCCTGCACCGCTGACCTCTCATTCCAAAATAATCTGTACTGGTTTGGCGACATAAAAGGTTACCGCTACTGTGTATTCCAAAAACATTGTGCGTCTTTCGGTATTAATTTATCTCAAAACCCAGCATTTTAAATTCTAAAAACATTGCGTAAATTTTGTTATAATTTCTCAGAAACGATCACTGCGGGAAAATTGTGGGCCAGGACTAAGATTTTTGAACGATCGATGCGATAAAACGATAGTTCAAGGAACGATAGAAGCGGGAAAATGTAACAATATTTTGTATGGGATGTATCCAGGACCGAACAAAATGGACGATGCATCCGGGAAAACGATAGTTCGGGGAACGATGGATAGAGGTTTCACTGTACATCCTTCTCCATTAACAAGAAAGGTTGCTTACTTCAGTTTGATGCTGTGACTTATATACTGACTGAGCTCTGACAAACAAAGGCATCTTAGTAGATGGTCGCCGCTCCTGTTCAGGTACTTCCCAGGCTGGTGAATTGTTGGGGTCTAGTGCCAGTTGAGCCAACCTCAATTCTGCAAGAAAGCCACTTTCTTCATTGAAACTGTCTTACAATAAATAAAGGTAGGCATTTTAGTTCTATGAATTTTACTGAAACAGCTTTCCTGTCAAGGATCTTAAAACACTGCACACCGTGCAGTGTTGAATATCTAAAATATAAAATTATGCATACAACCAAAACTGTTTACACTTTAAAAAACGCTTTGTGCCGAACACAATTTGACCTCATGAGGTCATCATCAGCGGTGAAACATATTACTTCAGTCCATTAAACTGTCTATTAAAATCATACAATTCATAAATCAGTGCATTGTTATAAAGCACTGTGCACAAAAAGTCATTTTATAAAGTCACACTTCAAGTAATACCACAATGAATGTCTATATCGCATAAGAGTTGGTTTATTCTCTGAACTGAGTCAGTCATAGCAGCATAATGTCCACTGACCGAAGTCTTACTTGTGGTTTTCGTTGTTGGTCTACGGTGAGCCGTGGTTGCAGTCAGTACCTGGATCATTGTGAATTCCAACGTTGCGTTGTTTCACCACTGATGATGACCTCATGAGGTCAAAACATATTTGACACAAAGTGTAAACAGTTTTGGTTGTATGCATTATTTTATATTTCCTATTAAGAGATCAATCCTTACGCTACCGTATCATTCTGACAATATTTTTATTTATTAAAATTTAAAAAAAACTTAAACCACAAAGAAAAATAAAGAAAAGAAAGTATTTCATTACCTGTGATCCATTCTTTCTTCACTGTTGGGTTATCTGTGTGGAAAGTGTAGATCTCCTCCTTGTTAGATTTACCTTTCACAGCAAGTTGCAGGCAACAGGAATCAACCCAAGCCATCTCCTCATCCTTTTGCTGAATTGAACTTTGAATGGTGTTCAGTATTCGCCTCGTCCCTTCCACACTCAGTTCCTACAAAAGAGGCGGCAAAATCACGTTAACCCTTTGACCACCACCACCACACCCTGGATATCCCAGCTACTTCAGACCATAACGCAATGTGATGCCTGGGACATCCCAGTCTATGACTTACGCATTATTTTAACTCATTAAATTAATTTATTACAATTGATAATGTACTAAGAGTGAGTAGATAATTGTTACATACAGTTGATGACAAACAATGAAAGTTGCTTATTGCAATCCAGTAAACTTGTGACTATGCACATCCAGATTATCTGCTTTACAAATTTGTTATGCATGATTTCTTAACACAAATATGGACAGTTGTGAACATGGCTTCCATCTACTTTCTGCACCGCACTGTCCACTTTGGGGATAGGAGTTTTGAAGATCTACAGAAGATACTGTCAAACCACACATTTTTTCTTTTCAGAGCATCATGGTCAGTATCAGTGGTGGGGTGGAGAGGTTCATTCTGGGAATGCTACAGGGGTTTGGCCCCTTTCAAATATTAATGTCTTAAATTATTTTCCATTATTCTTTACCGTCAGGTTAAAGTAACAGTTAACACTTGTGGATTCTAAATAAAATGGCTAAAAAAAAAAGAAAATTATACTGGCAGTATAACAGAAGTTCAACTTAATTTAAGAATTTAGGAATGGGGAACTGACAACAAAATTACCTAAAGATTATGGGATATGCCTGCACACCATACATGACATACAGAACCACAAAATTTCACTCTTGAATTTTGCAAGGGATTGTGATGGTGGTACCAGCCAATGCAAGAGTATGAAAAAGTATTCATACAAAGAGGAAGTTGCCCTTCTTCAGTGGTACAACCAGAAGAAAAAAGATCATTCAATGGTACCAATACAAGTGTATTCTTGTCCATTAATATAACCAGAATAGGTGCATTGATGGAGAGGGAGATTTTTCAAAACTGGTTTCATATGCGTTTTGTTCAAAGTTTGAGCTTTGATGACAGGATTAACACAGAAAGTAGTATTGCTGCAACACAACGTCCCTTCTCATCCAAGAGGGAGCATACTGACTTCTGTCAATGGCCTCACTGTTGTAAAATTTTCCCACTGAAATTCTAAATAGAATATGTAATACATAATTATTGATAAAAATTCTTGCAAGAAACATAAGTACCACATTAGGTGCACAGCAATGAGTAAGAGAGATTACTGACAGATTTAAATTGTCTTAAAAGCAAGATTACCTTGTAAGAGCCCTTGAGAGTGGACACAAGATCTGCAATGCGACTGACTACTTCAAAGTCATGCATAAGGTTGTTCATCTCAGCACACAAGTTATCCACTCCAACCGTGTTTGACGACGATTCTACAGAGTTAGAACTTCGGTCTGACTTCAAGCTACTCCCACGATTCATACCAGTTGTCAGAAGGCGGCTCAGTGTCGGGGAGGCACTTGTGTCTTGAACCTGTAGAAACAATTCGTATCCAGGAATTCTGGTCACTTTCACATTAAAATATTGATCAAGTTTCATATGGGATCAAGAAGAGAATAAAATTCTCAATTTTAAATGTACAACATACATAGAATAAAAAAAACAAAATGCTACATTCAGTATTGCCTCTACTGTTTTGTCAATGGTTGACTTCCTTTACTTCCTTAAATTTTTTGCAAATATGCAAGGAGTTTGACCACAGGAATTTCCACATACCATGGGGTTCCACGTATCTACTTTACTTTACTTTACCATTACAGAACAAATGATTCTAGAAAATTAAATACAGATTCAGACATGTTCAGAAGTTACAAATTAGATCTGCAAATTTCTGGACTTTGAACTGTATCAAATGAAACAACAGTACTTACATGCATACAGCCCATTCCTCTACATACAAAATTTTTAAAAAAACAATACACAGTGGTTAGTTATTAAACTAACTCTTTAAAACACATACTTTTGACTGAAACTGACTCGGTTCAGGGAAAATTAGAGCTCCAGGTATCTGCGGCTAAAGGTATTAAAGCTCAAAATAAGAATTACAAACACCCACAACTTTTCTTTTTATGTATCTTCCAGAGATACAATTAAAAGTGAGGTTATGAGAATGCTTATGTAAGGGGATGCAACACTGATGTTTGGCTTGCTTTTTAAAATACATATATTACACCTCAGAGAATACTCAAAGAATTTCAACTGCCAATATAAATTTATCAGTTCTTTTTTATAATATATAAACTACCTCAATATCTGTAACTGGATAGGTCCACTTGAGGCTGAGACGTTCACTGTTACCAAAATCATCAGACGCTTTGGGTGCAACAGCAACACACACAACCAAATCATTCAGAAGCAGCAGGCGACGACTTTTTGACTTCGTGATCATGCCTGCTTGATTGAATTCCTATAGTTGCAACAAAATCATACATAAGAAAGCAATCATAATGGAGACAACAAACAACAATTTTTTGTGTATTTATATGGTATTAAACCAGAGAAAATAAACTGGAAGTGGAAATGCTAAGCCTCATGGCCTAATACGGGAAAGGATGATGATTTAATGTGTTGCCCTTGAAGATGGCATTACTGTTGAAACATTTTGAGTAAATTCACCTTATATGTAAATAAGAAAAAACAATATTCTATCTGATGGTATCAAAGTTCATACATATTACTTGTACTGATACCGACAGTGAGATGGACCTATAATCAAACCCTGATACAGAGCCCCCTCTACTTACTTCCACCCACACAGTGCACCCATTTAAAGCCTCGGAACAGATATTCCCTATGTCATTTGAAAGGGAATCCTGTGCCTAAAAATAAAAAAATTCCACTTTATTGCCAGCCCTGCTTTAACACCAATATTGGTGGTGGACGAAGTGTAGTGCTCGAATAAAGTTACGCTGTAATAGGAATTAAAATATCTTCATATCTGTAAGACATTCCACTGGGTCATGCCAAAGGATGGATCTGTCCAATTTCAATACTGTCATCAGATGAAAGAGTACTAAAAATTACATACACGGCCACAATAATTATTATTATTACACTTACCAGTTGTGTGACATTGTCTTCCCTGAGAAGATAGCGATTGCCATCAGACAGTGGTCTGGCAGCAAATTTGCCACTGATGTGTCGAAGCATCTCCTTAAATGCCTGAAACTGTTCGGCTTCCCTCTTTCTCTCATTCAACATCTCAGCCAGAGATTCAAGCTGCGTGAGGGCCAACTGTAGAGACATGCGGTCATGATGACCTTGTGGCGTGTGTTTCAGTAGGTCCTGCAATGGCCACAAATACCACAACCAATCACGAATCACAATACCTCAAACAATGGGATGACGTGTCACTCCCCAAAACAAAACAAAAATATTAATTTTACTTCTGCAACCATGCTACCACTACAATAACATTGCTAAATGCCAACAGGATGATTTAAAGTAATGTCTCTTGAGCAGCCTTTAGAGAAACCCTGGGGTTCTCACAAGACCAGGTGCTCTGTAAGAAACGTTCAATAAAAATAGTTTCTTGTGAATGCTGCTCCAAACTACTGATATAATATTTTGCACAGAAACACTCAATGTAATATTCTAGCTTAAGATTGTATAATTACAATTATGAGCAGGAGCACTTTAAACCACATCTGAATCAAGGATTTTCTCCTTCAAAAATCTCAACCCTCCCAACAATTTTCTAGTGTTCAGTTGTTTTTCCACATCAAACATCACTTTTATAATATATCATATATATGTATAATACATTGTTCTCATAAAAAAAAATTAAAATCTCATTTCAAATAAAAACTTTTACTGTGTCTTACTTTCTATCAGTTTTCTTGTCCTTATCACATTTACACGACACACGTAAGAAAACAAACCCGATTCTCGGAATCTGGTAAATCTATGTGAGAACCAAATGTAAAAGCTACTTGTTTATGACTTTTCAACATTGTAAGAATATTTAACACCCATAAGTAATTTTTTTTTAATGGCTCATATCTCATCAGATGGGGCATAGGATTAGAAAGAGGTAAGTTCTCTGCTGATACCTCAGCAACCCAAAAGAGTTCCATTATCAAATTAGTTTGGAAAAAATTGCTTTGGAGAATACATGTACGTGTAAGTTCTTAGGAATGTTATCTACATAACACACACAAATATAATCCACGAACAACTGACCTGCAGACATGCAGAAACATGATTAACTGTTGAAATCTGTGAACAGATTTTACAAAGACCATAACAGTGAAATAGTTAAACAATATCCACAAACAACTAACCTGCAGAAACAAAATAAACTGTGGAAATCTCTGCACAGGCTTTACCATGAGCCCAAAGAAGGACAAACGATCATGAGCACTGATTTGCTTCACCTGCAATCAAAACAGTATGACAGTGAATAAGAAATAATGATTTACAAAGAGGTCTGTATTTACAGTAACTAAAGTATGCACACAAAAAAATCTGATTATCAAAAGATATAAGTAAATAAGCTATGAACAGAACACAGCGACAAGAAATACAAAGTTTTAATGGTGATAAACACCAGAAGGGTACAAATAATAAACTACAGTACTAACAATTTACCTTCAGGAAATCAGCTAGTGCTGACTTGCGTTTGGCCTCCATCTTTGCTAGATCCATCGCCACAGAGAAGTTGTTGATGAACCCACTATAGATGTCAAGAACAATTGCTTTGGAAAAGCTTGCCACAAAGACATCTCCTATCTTTTCATCACGATCCCAGTTGCGTATACTCTCCGCCAGAGCGATTCGGAATAACGTGTGACACTGTAATATCTCCGGCAAGCGATGGAATAATGTTGATATCTTAGAGCTGCTAAGTATTGGTGGGTTACTCTCTTCTAAGGGCTTCTTATAATCCTACAGAAACCAAATAAAAACAGAATTTACACTATATAACTCTTCAGCTTTTAATGCCACTGACTCAATGGCAAGCAAAACCTTTTGCAATTGCCATCGTTCATTTTATAACCACGAAGATGCAATGCTTGTACATTTAAATACTACTAGTACTAATGGAAAATTCAAACTATTTCTCAAAGTTTCCACTTCACAAGTCTTCTCTGAAGAACCTTAAGAAGACATGTAGTTAGTTAAGTGGGGGGGGGGGGGGGGGGGTTCAGCTTTTCTTTGAAGCCATAATATTTAATTTGTAATATGTACATTCTTCTTGCACTTTGGAACACAACACGTGAATACGTACATTGACAAGTCTCTGAAGAGTAGCTACATAAGAGTTCTCACTATGAACTATGGCTGGCACAATGTGCCGCCTTTTAAGCTGCTGAGGGGTGAGCCCAGCAGGAGGAGCAGACAAGGAGGGAGGCACCTGCCGTCGCTGGAATGCACATGACAAATTGGCGAAGCTTGTAGTTGATTCCTCTTCCATCTAAAACAATTAAGAAAAACTTAAATCACAATCTTATCCTAAAGAAGTCACATATGTTAACAATTAACCCTTTCAAAAGCAATTACTAAGTATATACACAAAAACAGAAGGAATATGTGTGATGAAGTTCATGTGCGACAACTGTGTGTAGTAATCCAAGATGGCATAATAAAATGGAAGTAATACCACACAGTTTGGAAGTCAAAAAGGAATTTATAAACCTGCCAAATAGACGCAAATTTGGATAACAGAATGAACAGGGATCCAAAAGCGAGAGTGACACATATTTTCAATAAGAAAAAAGATACAAAAAAAATACATTTTATCAATGGACCATTACTTTTAAACCACAGATTGATTACTTATTATAATGTCCTACAGTGATAAGGACAATATTATATTACATTCAGCGTCAAACTTAAGGTACCCCCCATCATAAGTTTCACACTTAAATTGCAGTATGTGATATGTCGTTGAGGATAAGTAAAGCAATAAATTCCTCTGCAATCGTAAAGTTTTCTCCAACCGCATGAACACAACTGGCGAAGTCTGTAGCACCTGTGGCATTTGTACCTTCATCCACGTCAGCAGATCATATAAAGACAACAGATAACAGAACACTGCTATGACAGACAGGGGCATTACGGTAGGACAGTGATGACCTGATTGAAATCAAAATGCATCAATACAAGTTGTGTATTGTTCATATCAGCACAATAAAACTAAATGGTAAACTTATGATTCCTTTTTTTACTCGATGTAGCCATATTTAAATAAATAAGTAAATACTAAGAAAAATTAAACACCATCACCTGAAACACTACAAACTGTTGCCCACATAACTTCTCAGCGTGCTCAGATTACTTGCCACATTCAGTATGGTCACGGAAGTTATAACTAGGATAGGATATGGGGCCCACTTCTAGACTAACAACTGACAACAGCCAAAATCAATATGCAAATACCAGAATGTCAACCATAAAGTTTCCATACTGTCAATAAACTTTCCCTGTACCCAATAAGCCATCAACTGTGGTTGATTTGTATTTGGTTATGTTATTTGTTATTACTGGTTCACTTAGAATAAACTACTTAATTTCAGTTCTAACCATTTATATATATAGAATGATAAACCGTCAGGTATTTCTGGCACACCCGTACAACGGATCAAAAAATAATTTTATTTTCCACATTTTTTGAAGTTTAAACTTTCAAATACGACTGTAACATTAAGACTGAACCCATTTAGCTATACACAGAATTTTGAAATAGATAGATAAAATTCTGTTCAATGTATAGGTATAGGAACAGAATGGAAAACGTTATCAGCGCAACGTTACTACTGCCATGGATGTTACACACATCTGAACCACTGATAACGTAAATCAGAATTAACCAGATCCTTGATTTCCAATCGTTTAAAGTCCCACAGCCAAAATCAGAGCTACGCTTGTTATAACACAGATGTGTTCTGCTTTGTAGCAGTCATAGTTGAATAATATGAAACTCAGAGCAAAAAGTTATTATTTCCAAATGAACCACTTCTAAGAAGCTCCTAAGATATATCCTTTATAGCTATTTCCTTTCTTTTGCCATTAATATTTCAACCTGTATCTAGCAGCAACAATTGTAGTTAATACGGTCCTGTTATTTTGCAATTGTATAAATTTGTTGCATAATAATTTCACAGAGTTATACCTATCTTCCACTCAATGATTCCACTACATTCCTTCATGGATCAATATTCAGAAAGCAATTACAACTCTTTCCATTCCCTAAGCATGAATAACGTAACACAGGGCATGTCATCTTATCATAAATTGCAACGTTGGTTGCAAGAGCCAAAGTCTGAGACCCACTCACATTTAATTCAATTTAAGTGCAAGATACAAGACTGGCGATGAAGAACAGACTTTAAGATGAGACATAGCACATGAACTGATTTCAGACTCTGATGACCCATAACAGACACAGGCGACACACAAAATGGACTGACATCTTCTGCACTAGTAAGACCAATGGGTCGAAGAGTTTTGCAACTACATACATGAAAACCTAGAATTAAGAAGACAGCCATCTTTAGACTCGCTGCGGTGAAACCTGAAATACTATAAAGACCTATAATCATTTAGATGCATGATATTCCGCTAATGTAACACCTACTATGTCCTTGGAATCTCTTGCTATTCTACCACTGAAGTGCCAATTACAATTAAATCATGAGATATAATCATAACAGACCATTCACGTACACATATACTGTATTTAGCAAACTACTCACCAAATGGTTAATAGATTATATGGCCTGTCTTAACTTACTTCTGGTAACAAGGGCATCTTGCCACTACCAGCTGCCCTGTCTGTATTATCGACATCATACTGGTTCGCCGATCCCCGACGAATTGAGAACCAGCGTGACAAGCGGCCCTGTCCTGCAGGATCACCTCCAGGTTGTGGTGCACAGTTGGCTTCTGAGGGCTGCCTCCCCCCTCCTCTCCACTTGTCACACAGTGTGCGGGCTTTATGAAGAGTTGTCTTCAACTGGCCATTGCTTCTACAAACAGATGGATTTATGTTACAATTACAATGAAAAACTCTCAACTGCATTAAACGTGAAAGAAAAACGTAGGCCAACGTGAAAGAGTTGTAGCACTGTGTAGTCTGGTAGAAGTTTTAGAAGTTTATTGACATTTCAGAGGTACTTGCTGCCTCCACCATCAGCATAATGAGAATATCAAGTACCTCTGAAATGTTGGTAAACATCTACCAGACTAAACAGTGCTACAACCTGGAAGACAGTCATCTTCAGACTTCACATTCCACATCAATAAACAATATGGCATACAATGCAACAGTACAACATCCACTTACAGACTACGTTTTGTTGTGTGCGATGGAAATCGAAAAATTCTTCCTAGGCTTAAAAAAACTGTGATTCACTGAATTTGGTACCTGTCTCATGTATTTACTATTCAGAACAGTCTGGACCAATGAAATGCTTTATCATCATTACTTTTCAATTTTACTTTTGAATACAGTAAGGTCTAAGAAAACAAGGAACTATAAATAAAAAGGGACATAAAATTTGATCAATTTCTTTTGGCATTATTAAAAAAATGTCTTAAAAGGCATGAAGATGGACTGTGAGGATTTATGGTACACCGAACTTGCTAAAGATCAGATAAAGCTATGATAGAACTTTAATATTCCAGACAGTTTTGTGGGTCAGTTGGCCAGTCTGTCAATTAGTACACTATCATTAGCATTCTGTAAATAGAATTAGATGTGATCATTGTCCTTCAAACGTTTAAGGATATGAAATGAGTGCAGTTTAATATAGCTGCCTACATCCCAAATTACACAGCACAATGACAGGCATTTATAGGCTGGTTGATAACACCTTAATCCTTCAGCACCGGAGGATTTAAATCAATTTAAATATGTAACAATCTACAAAGAGAACATGCTTGATCTACTTCCTGAATGTAGGACTTGAGGTTTTCATAGAGCTGTCTGAAAATTGTTGTCTTCTGGGTTATTGTGCTGTGTAGTCTGGTAGATTTCCACCAGTGTTACAGAGGTCATACTGCCTCCATCATCGGGGCGATCACCTTGATGACAGAGGCAGTATGACCTCTGAAACGTTGGTGGAAATCTACCAGACTACACAGCACAATAACCCAGAAGACAGCAATCTTTTACTTCCTGAATGTATCACAGCTTTGCCAGTTTGTTTAGCGTTCCAAGGTACCATGGAGGTGGGAATAATGTCCCCACATTACATCACAATGTCAAACAGAACAACAAAGTTGCAGAGTTAACATTACGGGAGGAATTTCATCTTCAAGTAATTATAAACCAAATGTAAATCATTCTCATGAATGTTTCCACATCTCACAGACTGAAATGGAACCACCATTTTGTAAATAGTCCCAAACCTCATTTCCCTTTTTGCAGTAGCGCATCTTTCCTTATAAATTCACTTCCTACAGACAAAGATCTGTTGTTGACGAAGCCAATAAACAGTGATGCTTATTGTTTGTCCTTCATTTAACTACAGTACCTGTTAGCAGTAACATGTTGATATGAATAATGGAATAGTAAGTCAATCTCAGGCCTATGTTAAGGCGTTATATTTGCTTGGAGAGGCTGACAAGCACAAAATACATCAGCTAGAATAGCTGTCTCCCAGATGAGATTCAGCTCAGGGACCTGCCAAATGTGAAGTAATGCTAAACATTACAGACAACAAATAGTAATGACTGTCAATACTTTATATTTCATTGAATATATGTCATGCCAAAAACTGTTTTAAATACAAGTTGCATCTTAGTAGTATCTATCGGCAATCATGTCCCTGCCCGTTATTTGTATGCTGAGTCACTTTTGAGGAAAAACTTGTTGAGCTTGTTCTAAGCTTCATAGGGTTAGAATGTTCCAATATGGACCACAATAAAATTTTCTCAACTAAATAAATGGACAGAGTAGCTTATGAAGTTCTGAATGGCAGGATGAATTACATTTGGTAAACACCAAGTAACATCGCAACTCCCTCCCAGTCACCACAGCTGGTCTCTTTGGTTTTATTTGTTAATGCAGAAATGTTGGTGTTCTGTACTTTTTGCAACTGAATGTTCCAAGGAGTTGTCTGTATAGATGGTAGAAACAAAATGGCATGGCATTTTACTGGGGATAATTATAATGCTTAATGATACAATCGTATCACCACAAATGTCGACGAATGTGGCTAAAGGAAGAACAATTCACCAGGGGATTCTCTTTGAAATTACATAGGAAATTTCTGTTCTGAGGCTTTTGTAGGTAAAATATGAAAATGACAGTGTGCAGACGGATGGTAGAACAGGTTGATTGTTCCTGAGACCATGTTGGATGGGAAAGGATTTGCATAGATTTTTAGAACAAGGAAACATTTTCTCTAAAATTATATTTAAGTGGATATCACTACAAAATAATGAACGACAAACATTGAGCTTAATTTTGCCATGATGGAGTCCTAATAGTCACTGATGGATTATGACAGAGAAATGGTTAAAATCATAAACACTCTGCAAAACAAAACAAATGTCCAAAAAATAACTTTTAACTACTACTCATTAAAATATCCTCCAACTCACTTCGTGATCAAGTGTCCGCTTTTCTCACTCTCATCACCAGATGACAGTTCTTGGTCAGATCCTCCCGAATACCAGCTCTCTTCACAACTCACTGGGCGTTGGGATTGGTCCAATTGGTGATGAGAAATGTCAGATCCAGAGTTACCAACAACATGCCCAACCACATTTCCAGTGTCGTCCCATGAACCTGACCGCATCCGTGGCTCATCTGAAAATACAGTTTCCCCATGTAAGCGAACATCAGTTTTAAATCGTGTCCCAAAAAAGAAATGAAGTCCATTTGCATTCAATTACACACCATTTATTCTTAGTATGTTATGACATATTGTAAATCAAAACAATAAATCACCATACAAGCTGAAGGGCTGAAAGTAATTCTGGTTTCTGAGGTTGCCAACATTTCATAGGAACCTTCAACTTCAACGCTGAAGATAGAGGCAATACAATACATTCCTATCAAACATGGAAAGTCTTGTAGTTTGTTATGTACAAGATTATATGACATCATAACTATGAATACATAATCAAACCTTCTTACCCCTGTGAAGTTACTGGATGTGCAAATTCAAATGATAATATCATGTGATTCCCGACTGAGAAATAAGAAAACTCATCTGCTTCTTTAAAACACACAGAGTGTGGTCTGTAAAGTTATAGTGTAGTTCCCATGCTTTGCTATTTCTTATAAAGAATGTTAGAAACAGAAAATATAAAAGCGTGCGGAATTTTGCCTGCAACATTAGTGAATTTCAGTGTGAACATCGCAAATTTCACTGCACATGCACATAAGGTATTCCAATTCTCACAACACATGAATGAGAAGAACTGCCATTACAACCCAAACTGTGTCCGAGACGGTCCATGTCGTTGAATTTCACCCTACAACACGCAGTACCTAAATAGGGTACGAAGATCAAAGTGGCCTTGTTTCAAACACTCTTCCAATTCAGTGGCCTGCAAAAGTTCATTTAGATTCAGAGGTCCTTGCTGCCTCCAACATTGCCCTGATGACAGAAGCAGCAAGGACCTCTGAAGCGTCAGCAAACTTCTACCAGGTTACATGGCGCAACAACCCAGAAGACAGCCATCTTCACACACACCGCCATGAAAATCTCAAATCCTATGTCTCAATGATCATTTCGCAGGGTGGCGGATCAGAAAAGGAGATTTCAAACCAATGCCATCTCAATCTCCAAACCTTGCTCCAAGAGACACTGCCTATCGAATAATGTAGAACAAGTGGCATTGGAAATTGATAAAAAGACATAACTTGATACAAAAAATCTATAAAAAAACCACTACTGATTGTTGTTCCATGTGTTCCCAGTCAGATGTCATAATAATTGAAATACCAATCTGACTACAGTGACAAACAAGGGTTAACAATGAACTTCACTAGACTTAAATGCAGGTGAGCCAACATTTCATGCAGAAAGATCGAGGGAGATACTGACAAATGGTCGAGCATGTGACCACATTCCTTGCAATCGCATCCACCCGCCTTTGTTCATTAACGCGTTTCAGTACAACGCAGGTAAACTTTCACAACTTCTCCTTCAATTCATGTTTCCAGCATTATGCATAAAAAAAATAGTAATGATTACAAACCATACCAATACTTCACATGCAAACTTCCTCACTGATTTCCATCCAAGTAAGAAACATAAATATCTTATTTCACTGAAAAGAGCGGCTGTACCTGGCAACTGAATCCACCAAGTGGTTGTTCTTGATCCCATCATGACATATCACCAGTAAATAAACACTGCACACTTAACTTCAACATAACACAAGATCATCTTGTATTAGCCACACCCCTTCCACAACAGGAAATACAACTTCCATTTCATTCTTTTTCTCCTTCAAAGCTCCACATCTGAATTTGCATGATGTCACCACTGACTGTGTTCTAGTCACATCTCCCCACAGTGTCAACAAACTGATGCAGAACATAAGAAGGTTGTTTTTTCTAAAAGACTACGAGGACAGGGGCTCAATCCTGACGAGGGCACAGGATTTTTCCTGCAGCCTCTATCTACCGGTTCTGGGGCCCACCCAGCCTCCTATCCAATGGGTACTGGGGCCCTTTCCCCATCTAGTGCAGAGGTCAAAAATGAGTACATGGCACATAGTGGGACAGCTTTACTTTACTTTAACTTCCAACAGACTACTAATGTTATGACAAGAATCAGTCGACATCCATAAAAATGTTTAGTGTTCTACTTTTCTAGTGAACATAAATTCACAATTTTCTTCTGTAACACATTTAATACGGTGTAAATATTTCTCATGTGATAGCAGAAACTAGTATTTTCTCAGAAAGATAAATTACACAAAAAACGAAGTCACTCTCACCATAAAGCCTACAAAGATTCTAGTCCTGAAATGAAGGCAAATAATCATTTAAATTTCACCATCACTCGCACAAAAACGCGGTATCAGTTCTGTCAAATTCACATTACTGAACCTTGTGTGGGAAAACGCACAGCCACACTGCCAGTTCTACTGTACATGTTTCCAACAACTTGTTCATACAGCAAAATTTACTGCTGGAAATTCAGGAACAGGGTAATGAGATCCCTCCTGTCAGCATTACACAACGGCGGTAATGGACAGGGATCACACAGGGATACTAAGCATGGAGCGTGTGTAGAGCAGATGTGAGCTGTAAGCCACATTGCGTGATCACAAAACATCCAAGTAAATGACATCAGAAGACTTGAAAGAGACAAAATGGCCCCAATACAAACAGAGTGTGAAGATATTAACTGGAATGAATGACTTTGGTACGCTGGTTGATAAAACTTCTTTTACTTTTAAAAGTGTCAATTACTTGCAATTAATACGAGGTGCGATCGGAAAGTTTCAAGACTGTGTCAATAGCGGGCGAACCGGATGTAGTACGAGCTTCTGCCTTTAGGGGGTGCGGCCTACATTCATAGTGAATCAGTGTGCCAGCCGGCATCATCGAATTAGCATTTGTTTCTTAGTTACGGGTGTTTTGGTAGTGCATTACACCTCAAACACCATGGCCGTCATCCCGCACCCTCCTTATTCGCCGTGTGACTTCTTCCTCTTCCCAAAGATGAAAATTCAGCTAAAGGGAAGGAGATTTGAGACGATAGAAGAGATTCAGGCAGAATCGCAGATGGTGCTTGACAGGCTGACAAAGAAAGATTTCCAGGGATGCTTCCAGGCATGGCAGCGGCGCTGGGATCGTTTTGTTCACTCCCAGGGGAACTACTTCAAGGGTGATGGATGAATTTAATACCTGAGATAAGTGTACGGGTTTTTATAGGCGCAGTCTTGAAACTTTCAAAGATTTTCTGATGTACAGAGTGCGATAGGGTGCTTTTAACAACACATCTCTGTAATAGAACATGTCATACGAATCAAAGTCCCTGCAAAATGAGATGCCAAGATCATTCAAATTTCCTGAATTCTGCAGTTTCATGCAACATCATTTTGAAATATCACGTAGCTGCATGCTGTACAGGCAACCTGCACACATCATCAGTGTGGGAAATTATAACATCAAATATCAATATAAAATTTTTAGCCAAATTCTAGACTGAAGTTGAAAGACTCTCAGGTTACAAGCCGCGTCAGGTGGCTGAATGGTGAATAAACCACATCTTCTGCCAACGTTTCGAGAACAATCTCTGCTCTCATTCTCATGGCTGATGCGTAACAAATCTGATCCTATGTACTGTGCTTGCCTAAATTGACCATTCAGCCATCTGACGTGGCTTGTAACCCGAGAGTCTTTCATCAAACACAAAATTACCGTTTTAGAATAGGGAGGGATTGCCGGAGCAATCTATTACTGTACTTATTTACAAGGGCGATAAAACTGACTAGTAATTATCAAGGAATACCGCTGCATCAACTACACACAAAATTTTATCAAGCATTCTTCTATCAAGGTTAACTTTGGATGGAGACGAAATTACTGTTGTCACCAGTATGGAGTGACACAATCTATTTCAAATGTTGGTCAGATATTCTGCATTCATAACAAACTAGAAAAGAAAATTAGAGTACAATGGGGCAGTACAAAAGCTATCAACGACTTTAAGACAGCCTGTGATTCAGTTAGACCGGAGGATTTACAATCACATCGAATTTGTTACACCAATGGAACTAGTTAAACTAACGTGTTCAAATGAAACTGACAGAAAGTGCGTATAGTAAACACTCGTCTGACGTATTTCCTGTTCAGAATGGTGAGAGGTAAGACGCTTATCACCACTGCATCTCAACTTTGCTTTAGAATATTCTACTGGGGGTGGTTGCTGTTTGGAACTGAATTAAACATACCGATTTAATTCAATGGGCGAAAACATACACATCATAAAGAACTCTACTAGACGTTAGTAAGGAAGCTGGCCTGGAAGTTACCATGGATAGAATGAAGTGCAAGATCATCTCTAATCACCAGACTGAAGGACAAAATCATTAAAAAGGTAAAAAATAAATCCTTTGATTAAATGCAGCACAGTTCAAGCATTTTGGGTGAGATTAAAAAATCAGAACTATATTCACAAGGAAATTAAGAAAGAAAAAAATTTTGGGAACTCCTGCACCCATGATATTCAGAATCTTTCGTTTTTCCATACTGCATTTAGAAACACGGATTAAAAAAACACAAAACTACAATCTTACGAGTTGTTTTCTACGGGTTTAAAACCTGACATCTCACATCTATGGAAGAACATAAATTGAGGGCATTTGAGAACAGGAGCTAAAGTAATTATTTGGACTAAACAGGGATAAAATCAAGGGTTGCTTGAGAAAACTGCGAAATAATTAACTCCATTGTCTGTACTCTTCACCGGTGCCATTTGGGTGTTAAATCAAGTATGACGAGGTGGACAACACATGCAGCATGCATGGAGGAGACTAGAAAGAACAAGGCATTCGTGTGGGACAATATTAAAATGGATGTTGGGGAAAATCAGGCTTGCTTACAGATTGGGTTAATGTGGCACAGGGGCAGGGTATAATGAATACGGTAATTAACCTTCATGTTCCGTAAAATGCAGGGACTCCGACTAGTTTTTCAATGAGGATTATGCTTCATGGAATTTGTTCGTTACTTAGTTAACAATATTTCGCAAGCTTGCTCTCCATCACGTAGAATTACAAATGACCCTATCATATCTCACAATCAACTATAAAACCTTCAGCAGAGTAAAATTGCCCAGT